TCATCAATATCATCAACTTCAATCGAATATTGTCGAAGGATTTCTACATTTCTATTTCGTTCTTTCTTTTTCTTATTCTTTTCACTAATGGATGCTAGAACTCTTTTTTTGATGTCGTTACTCGCATTAGGACAACCAATGACGTTACCTCCGGTTTGAGTAAGGTGTTCTTTCAACCTAGTGATCCCCCCACTCATTTTTTTATCACATAAGGTACACCATACATAATTTTTTTTGGTTGGATCTTTCCATACCCCCCATTCCCAAGCCATATCTCCATTGACGCATTTTGTACCCGCATCTGATGAAGTAGTAGTAGTAATCGGGGTCACAGATGCCCTTGAAGATTGACCCCCTTCCCTACTTTCCATTGCTTTTTTTAGTAATTAAGATCTTAATTCTAAGTTCTAACTTCTAACTAAGACAAATAAGAATAATCAAGTGAGTGGGTAGGTGATAGTAAGACCTGGAGGCTGGATACGGTTGCTGCCATCGATTACAGTTTCTGTTGCTGCCTTGCTGGCTCTGTTGCTGTCGGCCTTGCTGGCTCTGTCGTAAGACCCGGGTGATAGAGAAGAGAGACATGTCGCTGGCTCTAGCTCTGTCGTTGGCTAAGTTGCTGTCGCTGGCAGTGGCTTGGCTATGTTGTATCGATTACAAGAAAAGCAGAGGAGATCGAGAACGAGAAGAGAGACCGAGAGAGAAAAGAGAAGACGACGTGAGAAAAGAAGTCGAAGACTGTTGAGTGTTGACTAAGTCTTAGATTGCCGCCAGCGTTCATCCTGAGCCAGGATCGAACTCTCCATGAGATTCATAGTTGCATTACTTATAGCTTCCTTGTTCGTAGACACCTGGGTGATCTATCCATGACCAGGATGAAGCTTGGGTGAAACTAAGTGGAGGTCCTTTCAGACCTAATTTAGTAACCAAAAAATAAGGCCCATGGAATAAAAAAAACAACCCAAATTTTAACCCTTATAAAAATCGGAATATCGGACCGATTTTATCGCTAAAATATCGCTAAAAATCGCTAAATATCGCCGATAATATCGTTCCCGATATTTTGACCGATATTTCATGTCCGATTTTTTTCCTAGGAGCGATATCCGATATATCGCCGATATATCGCGATTTTGATAGCATAGGTCAAGGGATCACAAAAGGATCCCTCTTGGAAGATTTAATGAATATAGTTTATGTTTTAAGACTCATGATTAGTAGTTCTGAATGTTATGTGTTGTTTGTAAATTTAATGACATGTTTTTTTGCTTAGGCCTCTATGGTACTATGGGAAAACACCCTGCCTAACATTTTCATCTTGCAAAACCTTGCAAACATTACAATTTTCAATTTCTAAATAGGGAAAACTACTTTATTAAAGCTGATAAATGGATGCAACATCTACCTCATTTCTTCAAAACCTTTCTTTTGTTTCAGCATCTAATCATTCCCGTTGTTCTACATCTGTCTCTACTTTATAATAACCAGCTACTTTTTCTCAAAGAAAAATAACATAAGTGGTAATTTCATTATATTGCTGCAATTTCATGAAACGAAGGACGAAAAGTTTTGGTTATCCATAGCGATTTGTCTAGTTTAGTCCTTACAATTCTCACAGTGTATAAGTTTTTATTGTCTGGATCCTCTTTGTTATTTGACAGGTCGAATGCCTGTGATAGTAGTTTGCCATTCTTTCTGTGGTGATAAGTGCTTGGCCTTTATAGCTTATTACATATTGTTGCTGATACTGGGATGTGTAAATTTGAAGTGTGAGGTTTGTAGAAATACTTTACAATCTAAAGTTTTCTAGGTGAACTGAATTGCATACACTATGCTGTTATATCGGTCAAAATACAAAATATCGGTCAGGACCGATATTCGATATATCGGTTATATCGGTGATATATCGGTGATATATCGGAAATAGCGGTTAACATAATATTTCTTAGAATTATATATATAATATGCATTAATTAGAGTTAACATAAAAATTTTACAAGGGTTAAAATTTGGGCTTTTTTTTTTTAATTCCATGGGCCTTATTTTTTGGGCTGCTTAGTAAATTAGGTCTGAATAAGACTTTCTCAACAGTACTGTCTACGACTTCTTCTTCTCACGTCGTCTCTCTTTTCTCTCTCGGTCTCTCTCTTTTATCTCTCGGTCTCTCTTCTCGATCTCCTCTGTTTTTCTTGTAATCGATACAACATAGCCAAGCCACTGCCCAGCGACAGCAACTTAGCCAACGACAGAGCCAGAGCCAGCGACAGGTCTCTCTTCTCTATCACCCATTTTGACTATTGTGCTTGTGCCAAATTTTAACCTTTGTAAAAATCGGAATATCGGACCGATTTTATCACTAAAATATCGCTAAATATCGCCGATAATATCGTTCCCGATATTTTGACCGATATTTCATGTCCGATTTTTTTCCTACGAGCGATATTCGATATATCGCCGATATATCGGCGATATATCGCGATTTTGACAGCATGGTGCATACATGAGCTACGATGTTGGCAGGGAAATGAAATTGCAGCAACTATATCTAGGTAGGTAGTTAGGTTAGAGAATAGCGGAAAAATTAACGAGGATCTCAACATGACAATGGATCTAAATATATGGCAAGTTTGGAACCCTTTTCTGGTTGGAATTTCTTTTTGAAGCTGAACTATTGGCTTTATAGGATGGGGGTATTGTATCGCTTGGTATGATCTTTGAGGAAGGATATTGATCAAAGGGAACACATACACAAGGTAGCATATCAAAAAGGCAGATACTGAGGTAAATGCATGGCCACACAATGATAGGTGGGTTAGAGATGGGGATATATTGGTGAAGGTTTGATGGAACTATGGAAGTAGTTGAGGCATAGTTGTGGAAACGTTGTTTGAGGTGGTTTCGTTATCTCTAATGTTGATCTTTTAATGCACCCCTTTAAAATGTGAGATTGTGTCATTAGGTGGTCATTTGTTGAGGTATTGGTTGGATAGACATTAGGGGAAGTTATTAAGTGATACTTGAGGGCGTGAGCGTGACTGTGAAACGATGCCATTCTTTTCTCTATATCTTGGGGATTCACTTCTCTATGTTTGGTTTCGGACTTCTGGTTTTTGATGATTACTTTTGGTTTCATTGTTAGCCTTCCGAATTTAATATATAATCTCGCCAAATTTCATCTTATTCTAATGTCCAATCCTTGTCTTTCTCTCTATTTTAAGAAAATATGATTGTCAAGTTCAAGTGCCGTAGAATTAGGAAAAATGAGCATCTGTTGAATCCTTTCGGCTCATGTGTGCTTGATGTTACTAATTGATAGAAACTTTCATGCAGTAGAGAGCCATTCATGAACTTGCTGTCTAGGGCAACTTCCAATTTTCTTTTTGTAATACCAATGACATACTTGGTATTTGTTGGAATAAACTCCGAAACTGTCGTTATATCATTTTTGTTCTTTTTTTTTTGTTTTTGTTTTAACTCGGATTTTGAGCCATTTTTGAACTTCTTGCATTTGTGAATTCCAATCTTATGTTCAAAGCACCCTATGCTGTTACAGCGTTCAAAATCTGAAATAGCAGTCAGGACCGTGATTTGATATAGCGTTTATCATGATGGTAGTAAAGTGGTCCAGAAATAGCGGTTCATGTAATCATTACAATTATATATAAATGTATGAATGTATGCATAACATAATATATATATATATATATATATATATATATATATATTGAGGATGAACATTGTGAAGAGAAGATGCAAAATATAGACCAGAATAGAAGAGATGAGAGAGGAATAGCAAGTTTGACTGGAAACATGATGATTATCTTTTGACATTTAAAACATATAATAGCAATTGTCACCCTTGCCATGAAATGGTACATGTTTATATGAGATGTTTCTAGTAGAACATGTGCTACATTCTTCGGGTCAATGTTGCAACATAAATATATCATATTGCCTGCTTAAGTAATTTTGAAAACATATTGATGTGTAAAAGTGATCCATGTGTTATTTAGGGGCCGTTTACCAAACACTTACCCCGTAAGTGCTTACCGGTAAAATTCAACACTATTATTTACTTGGTGGATAAGATTTTAGTCCACCAAAACGACATCGTATGCAACAATTTACCCGGTAAGCGCTTACCGGGATAGGAGTCGTCATTCTCACTTACCGGATAAGACTCTTGGTCCTTGTCTCACTCTTACTGAGTAAGATTCTTGGTCCTTACCATATTCATCTGGTGAGGTAATGTTACTTGGTAAGCGCTTACTCGGGTAAGCGTTTGGTAAACGGCCCCTTAGCCATGAAATGGTATGAGGATGTCTATGTAGCTCACTAATAAATTATTTGACAATTCAGTCAGTATCTCCTAACCAACTCGCAAGACCTTCATATACATTGAAGCACAAGTCGATATATATCTCATTTTGAAATGGTTTATTCTGTACAGGTAAGGAGGGAGAGGGCGGAACGTGAGGCTTTGGGAGCATTGCCTCTCCAGCAGCGCACGCTACCATAGTTTCTTCATTATACTCCCTGCCAACCTACCCTACGTGAAGCTTTTTGGTTTCGTAATAAGCGGTAATTCCCTTTCGTTAGCAACAATAACATTTATTGGTAATTGATCTTTGTTTACTTAATGTGTTGTAAACCGATACATGTGAGATATATACCATGTATGGATGGGTTTTTTTTTATATGGCAAGCGGGTTCTACTCTTCCTTCCCTCGTATGAAGGCAGAGCCGCATGTTTTCCTTTTTCCTTTTAATCGGGTGTCATGAATTCTTGGATTTTCGTTCATTTCCAGAATCTTGTTTGTTTACGTCTTTGTCGTACAAGTGTGTAATTTTAGGGTTTTGGTGAAATAAAAATTAAAAAAAATGTTCTTGGCAACAATTTAAAATGGATAAACCAGAAAAAGTAAACCAAGTTGTCGAGTCACGGACAATGTCGTGTGGTTAAATGCAGTGTCTCCTCTAGGATAAAAGAGCTTAATGTCAATTGGGTTGCACAACTCAATTGGTATCTTTCTGTTACTCTATTATCTTAATTGCTTAAGAAAATCAAAAACTGAAAAATTGTTATTTCTCCACCAATACATCTAATGTATACTATATTTATTATAAAGTATTTGATAAAAATTCTTAAAAACTATTTTTTATACATGAAGTACTGTTTATTGATGCATGTTACTTAAAATTCAAAATTACAAGTAATTTTGCGTCAGTACAATTTATTAAATTTTTTAATTCGTGTAACTAACTGTAGATAAACATAATCAAATACAAGATAAATATTTATTTTAAATATAGAAAATTTGAAATATAATTAAGATAATTATTGAGTTTTAACATAATGTTTAATTATTATCTTTATAGAAAATATATTTTTAAACCAAAAATAAATTAATTTGTTATTAAATCTAAATTAAATTATAGTAAAAAATTGAATTAAAAAAGTTGTACCAAAAAAATGAGAACTATTAAATAGTTAATTTGATATTAATATCGATTTATTTTTTTTCAAATTTATATTCATTCAAAAATAAAAACATTATCGTTTTCAAAACCATATAAAATCATATTATAATGATAGACACAAAATAAAAACTAAATATTAAAATCGAGATTTATCTCGTTGTATTGTGCCAGTATCCTTCTAGTATATTTATAATGAAGATGAAGATAACCGTTCTGAAATACCAGCCTAAAAATAGGCTTTTCAATTTACTATGTCAGATCTTTTTTAAACCCAAACTTAAAAACGTTTTATTGACTTGGTTATGAATCATCACTATTTTATTTTTCAAAAATTATATTGAAAATGGGCAGAAATTGGGTAATGAAAATTGGCAATTGGAAGAAATTCAACAAATTGACAAACATCTGAAATTCAAAATAATTCTGTAAAAAACAAAAAAAAATGTAAACTTTGTCCTTGTTATATTTAAAAATATAATTTCTCCAACAATGGCTGATTAAATCTTACACAAAAAATTCGAAATTGCAAAAAAATAGGTTGATGTATGAATCGGCTAGTCAAGTTTTCAAAAATCAAGCCCCAGTATCGTAGGGGGCCGAAATCCATATCCAAATCTAAGGTTTGATTCATTTGAAGTTAAAAAAGTAATGTAATGTGTTTTCGTAAATATTTATTTGTTTATAAAAAGTTTAAGGACTTAATTGCTCAAAATATGAAAGTATTTTACGTTTTTTACACTTTTCCTATGATTTATCATATTAACCAATTATAATAGGCCACACGGACGAATTGAATCGGTTTTAGAAAGTTCGAAAAAAGAAAATCAGAAGCTTAATCTTTTAAATTTTAAAAGGGTGTTCACTTTTTTCTCCAAGACTTTTCCTTCCAAAATATATTTGTACAGAAGACCTTATCCAAGTTTTTATTTATTTATTTATAGATTTAACATCGAATTTGAAGTATCAAAATCAAATTTTGCGTTTTTGCTATGTTTCTTGTTAGATGGCCTGCTTATGCAACATTAATGACCAAATCAGTGAACAATGCTACGATTCAATTTACATATAAAATGATTCGATATGGATATCATTCTAATGACTAATAAGAAACAAGAAATAAGTTTCGGAAAAATTGATAATCCCAAAAGATTAATCAATTAGACAAATCATGATTCAAGAACACTAATAACAATTGATATAAAATGTAGAGAATAGAAAAATGCAGAGAGAATTCTTTTAAAGCACCAAATGTATTAGATTGCTAAATGATTACAAATGATCTAAGTTACTTGCAAATTACAAGGAAGAAACTATTTATACTAGAACAAATTACAAGAGAATCAAAAGCTTGAATACAACATTTTAGCACAAAGCATTGAACCCAACATTCTCCCTCTTTGGTTTGAAGCTCTAGAAATAGAAAATCTTGATCTTCTAAAGTCCATATTTGTCTCAAACCTTCTAATTGCATTCCTGTACTGTATCTTCTCATCAAGTAACTCCAGAGCATTAATGAGCAAGAACCTTCCTTTTAGATTCAACCTGTTAGACCGTGAAGCTTTGTCATCTTCAGTGTTTCTCAATTCAAGTTACTTCTTTACAACCTTGATTGTTCCATCATTGTATTGTTTGAGTTCACTGAACCTCAAAAATATTTTAGCACCCTCAGAATTTTCATAAATCACACCAAACGTTGAATCTTCAACAATCATGTATAGAGGATAACCAACAATGTCTTCTAAATCTTGATTAGGCACTTTTAGATTGATCTTCTTTTGGTTGCTTTCATAGTCCATCTGAACATCAATAACTGAAGGAAGTTTACTCTGACATCTGAGAAATCTTTTGATAACTTCAATCCCTCTAAGGACTCCTTCCAATCTAACAGTCTGGTTTCTGATCTCATGGTACATAAACTCTAAGTCTTCTAGGTATAGATTAGGAAAATCAACTTCATTGAAGTACCAAACTTTACCATCTTGTCTGGTGACAAAGAAAATTGGATACCATACTCTTACAATCTTTCTGGCTTCCACTTTCTTTATCGAGACAATGCGGTGCTTCGTTCGTACAGAGTGAATAGGTTGGCGTTTTACTTTGATCAAGTACTTGTATTATTTGCGATATTCACGAGTTTCTTTGTGAACACCCAAGACTCTGCCAGAACTTAAAGCTTTATGATGACGAACAAAAATGTCTGCGTACAGGTCTTCCAGATAAGGTTATCTAATTCTTGATCTGTCCCACCCTAGAGTTTGAAGTTTTTCTGTGAATGACATATATCTTCTTGAAGGTTGAATACTTGAAGTTTGTGGCACAAAAGATGTATTGGGAATGCTTGGTGGATCTGAAAAGACTGAACTGAAATGGAAAACTTGATTCTTCATCATTCAGATCAGCTTCAAAGTCAAATAATAAATCCTTTGAATCACCAGCTTCATTTTCAGCTTCAATAGCATAATCCTGAACTCCACCAATTTCTTTTGAGAACACATCATTGAAACCAGCGTTTGTTGATAGACCTAGTAGCATCCTTGTTTCTACTGTGGAGACCTTTGACTTTTCAACCATCGGTTCGATCTCTAGGTCTGTAACAACTGTCATCTCCAAGCCCGTAATCCTTTCATCAGATTGAATATGATTTTGTTCATTCAGCTCATTAGACTCATCAATATCAACCAAATCAGCTCCTTGACTCCTCGAGGTCTTAACCACTCTTTGTTTCTTCATCTCCCCCTCAAAGGTGATCAGGATCGTCCTTATCATCATGCATTTATTTGAGTGTAGTGGCTTGATATCGGCCTGAATTTTTGAGAATCGAAACTCTTTCAGATAGTACATCAATAGAATTTTGTAGATTTGCAATTGATTGGGTTGAAGAAGCGATTATCGAACCAAGCTTTGACAAGCTTGAGACAACAACGATTTGAAAATTTGCAAACTCTGTGGCTCGAATGGCTTGTGAATCTTTCATTGATTGACGTAGCAGCCCCACCAAATCTGCATCCGTCGAGTCCATGTTCGGTTCTGAAATCATTTTAGCATATAACATGGACTTGAGGTCATCCACCGAGTAGTTAGGTTTAGTTTGTGGTTGAGGTTAAGGTAGTGGTGACGGGGCACGACTCATTTCTTCTAAAGTCGGTTGATTTCCCTTCAAAAGTCTTTTTAATCCATAAATCTTCTCCATCAACGTATCCTGAACAACCTTTAGGGCGCCGTTCAAAAATTCCCTTGACACAAAGTCTGGTAAAGTAACATTTGGATCACTTAGATTACCAGTTGTAACAACAATTGAGTAAACTGTTGTGCCTACGTTTAGTGCTGGAAAGGCGTTAGCACTGGTAGGACTTCCGATCTGTCCTTGTAGAAAGTCAGATGACTCTACTTGGGTCGTTCCGGCTAGTTCACTAAGAACAACATATTGAGCAACAGATGCTTCTGACTCGTGTGTACCTAAAAAGTGTATAGGCTTTAGACTCGAAGTGCACACAAATAAAGTCGTAGACTGGGGCTGGAGTCTACTTGTTTCAATATCTTGTTCCTTCGAGTCAAGAACAGATAGATTATGTGCCAAATCCCCGTGAATATATGAAACTAACACCTGTTAGGAGGTGTTAGAGTGGCTAGGAAGGGTGTGCAAATGCATAACTGGATGGGCTATGTCTTCTTCAATGCTGACATTCAATGGATGAATGTCAATAGTAGATGTAGGAACCCGGCTTCTCCTATAAGGTTGGGTAGGAATTGATATTTCTTTTACTATCCTTGTCTCACACTCCCCATCTTTTTCTCCTTCCCTTTCACTCATAGTCTCAGAATTTTCAACTAAATCCCCTCTTCCATCCTTATTGACTCCATAATATTATCTATTTCACCTTCATAGTCAAAATCATGAATTTATTCACCAAAATCAAATTCCATAGATTGAACCTCTTCTAGATTCATGAGATTAGCACTATCTAGATTTTCATCATTGTTGTGGTTGTCGTCATAGACATCATCATCTTGTCCTTGATGAATGCCTGAATCAGTTTCAGTATCTTCCGAACTTGAAGAAGTCGGGGAAGTACGTTCATCAGTTGATTGTGCCAGATCAAAGTCTACGCCCGCCAGACCCCTCATTTACATTTTCCTCATTACACAACCCCGTTCACATATCCTTTGTATCTGAACTCTCTCATCTATAGCTAAACCCTCACGACACTCAACTGAGATATGGGTTGATCCGAGGGAAAGTTCTGTCTACTCTGGCTGAACTATAGGATCTATAACTCTCCTATATTCTATCACATAGTGAGAACTCTGATCGGCGTAGGGTAATAGTTCATCATGAATATT